ACGAAAGCGGTCTTTTCACGGTCTCCTTCATCCACTTCGATTTGCCAATATCCGTTTTTTAAGTCGAGCGAAGAGAAATATCTGGCGTGCCGTAGCCGATCCAATGTGTCATTAATACGCGGTAAGGGGTATACATCCCGCTTGGTTACGCTGTTTAGTTTCCGGTAGTCTACACAGAATCTCAACGTGTTGTTTTTTTTTCTCACGAGAACTACCGGCGATGCCCACGGGCTGCTAGATGGCTGAATGACATCATCCTGCAACATCTCCTGCACCTGTCTCTTTTTAACCCCTCGTTCTTTCGGCGAAACTCTGTAAGGGTGTTGATACACTGGCCTGGTTGTTTCCTCTGTTACAATCCTGTGCTTCATGATCTGCGTGCAACGTACTTTTGATGAGGTGGAAAAACATTCTGCGAATTCATCTATCAGGTCTTCCAGGATTTTCCTCTTGGTTGGCGATAGACTTCGGCTGATTGAAACTGGTATTCCAAGGTCATGCGTAGTTTCCGAAGTAGGCGGCTCTGACGCAATGGTACATAAGTCGGTAACTTCAGTAAAGCTGTGTAAAAAAGCGATGACAGTGTCTTTTGCGACATGCTGAATTTCATTTTCGAAATTAGTGAGCAGTACGTTGGCAAGCCCACCACGTAAGCGAATAATGCCTCGAGCTATGCAAATAACTTTCTTTAGCAGCAGCTCGACATTGCCATCCGCTATTCCTTCAGAGTCGACGAATGCATCATTCCTTACGCCAACCAGGCCGCTGCATCGTGGTGGCACGGTTACGTCGCCGTCGATAACACGCAACGCAGAACTTCCCGTCTCCTCGTCTATGGCCAGATTTTTCGAAAAAGAAATACTAGAATTCTGCAGGTTTATTATGGCGCCGTTATCTAGCAGGAAATCCATTCCGATTATTACGTCTCTCGAACATTCTGGCAGAACTAGGAAATCAGCGACATAAGTGGCACCCTGACTGCCGATCCTGGCAGTGCATCTTCCCAGAGGTGTTATCAGATGGCCCCCAGCCATGCGTATTTTTGGTCCACTCCAAGGCGTCAAAACTTTCTTCAAATCTTTTGCGATTGCATAGCTTACGACTGAATAATCGGCACCAGTATCAACCAATACGTTAAATTTCCGCCCGTCCATAGTAACACGCAAGTCTGAAGAAAATTTTCTTTACTTATATTCGTCGTCATTTTCTGCTCGTCGCTGCTTCGCTGGGGCCTTGACGGAGGATATTTGCTCTGTCGGACATCAGCGGCCTTGCCTCGCCAGGTCGCTGATGTTTCAGTTTTCCTGACGCGGGCTTGCTGACCGATGGTTTCGTGAATTTTGTGGTGAACTTGAACGTCGCGGACTTGGCGATCAATAACGATTTGGTGCTGGTGACCTTGGCTGGTGCTGGAAGCTAGCGGCTGGAGATCCGTGTATTGAAAGGTACTCCTCTATTTCTATAGGCCTTTCACCATTACGCCGACATGGAGCATACACAGAAAACCCACGCAGATCGACCCTTCGGTATGGACAGTGTCGGTAAAGATGTCCAGCTTCTCCGCAGTGAAAACAGAGCGGTGTCCTGTTAAATGTGCGCCACACATCGCTTTTCCGTGGTCTCTGCTCTCCAAGAAAAGGTGGGCTGGTCGAAGCTGACTGGCGGGCACCGGGAGTCGCGAACGAGGCATTGTGAACGGCAGGTTGGCGTAAAGCGTCTGCGTACGTTGATGCATGGCGTTCCTGCAGGAGTTGTTGAAGTCGAAGAGGTTGCACTTCTGGTTCCGGCTGAAGAATGGCGTGCCGAACTTCATCACGGATGACGGATATGAGAGATGAAACTGTCGGCATTACTTGCGGTTGGAGAATGTTACGAAGCTCCTCTTTGACGATGAACGCACCAGCTCCCTCAGCGACTCGTTGCTGCTGTCTCGCTTTGCTTAAAGGACGCCCGCGGGCTCACTGCCGGCATCCAAATTGTAGTGACGGGCACGCTGCTGTAGTGCTCTTTCTATGGTCGTGGCTTCTGTGCGGAATTCAGCAACGGTACGAGAAGGATTGCGAACAAGGCCTGCAAATAAGTCCTGTTAGACTCCACGCATCAAATGGCGCACTTTCTTTTCTTCGGTCATGTTCGCATCGGCTCGTTTGAAGAGGCGGGACATGTTCTCGATATACATGCTGACACTCTCGTTCGTGCGTTGGTTTCTTGATTGAAGGGCATTTTCTGCCCTCTCCCGGCGATCCATGCTGGCATACGCAGCAAGCAACTGCTGCCGAAAGTCTTCCTACGTCGCTATCGCCCCTTCGTGGTTCTCAAACCGAATTCTTGCTCCATCCTCCAACGCAAAGTACACGCGGCCCAATTTCCTCGCCTCATCCCAGGCATTGGTCCTTGCGACCCGCTCGAAATGCTCCAGCCAGTCTTCCACATCTTCGTGCGCGTCACCGTGGAAGGGTTCAGGTAAGCACGGGGGAGACACGGTGAGTTCAGATTTTGAAGCTTGATTGGCCAGTTCTCTGAAATTGGCGGTTACCGCTGCCCGTGTTGCTGGAGCAGTGAGGAGTGGTCCGAATTCAGGTGACTCACCTCGGAGGCGGCGACTTGAACGCTGGTGTACTGGTGTAAGTTCGCCAGGCTCCAATCGCTGGGGGTCAGGGCTTCTTTCTGTTGCGCCAAGGGGACTTCCAATCATACCCCGCACCTCCACCAGAATGTCACGTAATACAAGAGGGTGAACACACACAATGATTTATTGAGGGCGAACTTGTGCCCAGAAAAGTAGCTATGTCACAAAGAAGAGTCTGATAAAAGCATTCCGCCTACGTGTCCCTTTCTGAACAACTCCTCCGTCAGTCTTCCCGTCTCGTGCTCCTCCACCCGAGGCCTGAGTTGCTCTGCTACAAATGCGTGAGTAGGCGCGAGACACAGTAGACGCCCACATAGCGTCTCGTTAGTTGCGAGGCACTGTAGACGCTCACACAGCGTCCCGTTGGTCCTCTTTGTGAAATAATTAGTAGGAGCAATCTCTGTGGCAATATGTTGGGAAAACTTCAATAGGTCTTGAAAGTCGACCCTGGGTTAACCCGTACCCCACCCATGTCGAGACTGTTGGGCCAGTGCCATCAGTTATATATTAAGCTGCGCAGAGTTCAACTTGATGAAGTGCTTATGGGACAGGGTAAGTGAGCGCACTACCTACATCAGTATATCTTGTGCAGCTCGACCCTTACGCCACCTACGCGGGACGCCTACAATCATATTCCGCGTTTGATGAGGCATCTAAGGATATCTAAGGCTTTGGCCTTAATATTTAAAAGGTGTGTCATAAGTTCCGTGGTCGGAAGTGCGCCTGTAATGTTGCAAGACGGTGACGATGAAGTCCTGTAGACATCCAAAAAAAAATCTGGCTTTACCATCTCAAATATGGAAAACTCATTTTAACCAAGACGGCTGCATCACAGGGTTAGTGCATACAACAATTTCTGTTCACTGGTCAATCAACGTTTAATTTTCCTTGGTCCTAAATGGCATAAATGAGGCAGCTCGAAAATGTGGCATCTCAATTTATGACAAGGTATCACTTTTCGGCGTGATGTAAAACTGAGTCGGTAACGTATAGGCCCACACAATCAGTGTCATGCTCAGAAACATCCCCCTCTTTACGTGGAGGAGGCCCGCAGCTGCTAAAGCCAAAACGTTACGTTGTGCATGCGTGCCTGCTGATTAATCATCACCATTCTGTGTAAAACTGTCTCTACGCGCAACAAATTTGGTGTTCTTCAGGCGGTTGCGCCAGGCCCTTCAAATGCAGTTGATCCTCTTGGCCCCTGTCGCTTCTAAGAAGCCGGCAGTAGAGTGAGTCGTTTTCGCAGAGCTTTCCTCTTTTTTTTTCCGCAGGTATTTGGAAAGTTCAGTAAAATGGCAGGCTAAGCGTTTAAAGTGCGCGTCGGTTTATTTGGTGCAACAGGATGTTTTTTGTGCGTGTATGCTGGTCGAGTAAGCATTACGTATTATATTATTAGCTTGGCATAACTGTTTCGGCGAGACAGTTTATTTGGCGTAGGTTTATTTGGTGCGTGCAACAGGACGTTTCTCTTGTATTCTGCACGATATGTGGCAGAGATCGCTTCTTCTGGGAAATGTTTTATGCCCATATGGTCAGTAGGCTGCATAGCTCCGTCAGCTTTCGGAATTGCACATTTCCACTTATACAAGCGCTCTGGTTCACGCGGAGCCCTGAAAAGCGACACACGCTCCGTACAAATCTGATTTTGGACAAAACACCACTCGCCAATTTTGAGTCGCAGCCAGCCACAAGGCCGCTGACGCGTACTCTGAGTCATATGCAGAGCCGAGGCATACGAGCACTGAGTAACAAATCGCGAATCAGCTGAAGAAATGCACTCGCAGGGTTCCCAGACACTGGGCGACGCGTTTCTTAATCGCGAAATTCCACGCACTCAAAGCTTTCAGGAAGATGTTTTTTTGGCTAGGGTATTTGAGAATGAGCGCCGCGCGAATACCTGGCACGCCATACAGTAGCGCCATCTAAACTAGGTGAGCGCAACTACTCGTAGCTCAAGGTCATCGGTAAACTCAGTCTGGCCGCGTCCTCTCCCTGCGCGGAGCGGCGAGTGTCAGCACCTACTTACTCTTACACTATGATTCTGACAGACGCCGTAGTGGAACGCTCCAAAATTTTGACCACCTGGGGTTCTTCAACCTGCATCCAAATGAGAGCACACAAGCTTACAACATTTTCGCCTCCATCGAAAATGCCGCTGCCGCAGCCGGGATTCGCGACCCAATGACCTGCGGTTCAGCAGCCGAGTACCTTTTCCACTAGACCAGCGCGGCGGCAAGGAAACACAAAAGCAGACCTGTAGGGGAAAAAAGTTTCTAAAAACGCTTAATAAGGAGTCAAAAAGGCAATTAAGAAAGAGAATCGTCACCACGTTCACATCCCCGTTAAGTAATGTTAACCGAGGTGCACTTACCGGGCGAGTTCTCCCGGTAGTTCATATCGGTGTGATGCTCTAGGTACATGCCAGTGTAAGCTAGGTGGCCAGGGTCTGTCTGGACGGGTTCGCAGATCACGTCAAAGGTGTCGCCCCAGATGGTCGACTTGACGTACGCCACACGTCGCACGGCGTTCAGGACCTCGCCTTTCTCACAAGGTACGCCTAATAAGGAGAGAATGAAGGAAGTCACAGTCTTTATCGAGGTTAAATACGCAAAATATATGAAAAGCACTGTATTAGAGGGCTCGAAATATTTTGATGATACAGGGCTAACTTCTATAAATGTATTCACATTCCGCCCAATCGGGATGCTATGACTGGAGCAGTGAATCGAACCTATGGACCTCTTCTATATAGCAGTACGTCACACAGCAACTAAGCACATGATGGTGAATTGAAACGAAAATTGGCTTTAGTTGTCAGTTTTTTATGAACTTCATTATTAGGATTCAATGCGTACATACTCAATTTTTTAAAGATTTACTTATATAGAAATGGCACTTAAAACGTGATTCGAGGTTTTCTTCGAATTAGGTAAATCCGGAAGAATTTGAAGGTTATAAAACTACCTCAATGGAAACGTTCTCAGTGCTGTGAGTAGATACTTGTAGTCTAGCGAGCTTAGCGAGATAGCGGACTTGCCGGAATAGCGGGATCGAAATGCGTAAGTGCTGTACACTGAAGGACCCATAGCATGTACCGTCCGCACGCTATTTCTAAAATTTAGCGTTACCGTGTTTGCGTGATTTACATAGTGCATGCAAAACATGGTGGTTGTTGCGCACGTTCACTTTGAACTGAATTCAGAGCCGGTGGAAACCGATTTGCTTCTTTCGTAGCTAACGAAAGCACAAAATGACTTCGCTTGCCTTCATGTAGCTTCAACGACCGAGTATTGCGGATAACTTAGCCTAGATTTTTTAGATAGCTTCCCATTTTGAACGAGCCTAGGCCTAACTAAGTGATCAATGTAAGCAAATGTGCAACGCAAAGTTTGCGCTTTCGGTGCTTGGTTCATCTTCATTTACGTTTATTATTACTAAAAAGGTAGTAACATATCTGCGCTCGGCATGCAGGCGATAACTCTCTGACCCATAGGCGACGCCACTGACCCAGCTTGGAGACGTAAACGCTAGCCCGCTGGACTATAACTTGCTGTTCGCAACGAACGTTTCTGGCCCATTAACACCATTCCATTAACCACTGCTGTCGCGCTAACGCTAAGGTATAAGTAGAGAGTTATAGTATACTGGGGCTTAGCAGGATAGCGGGCCTAGCGTGATAGCGAAATAGAAGTGCCCATGCGCAGATACGTACGTTACCCATACCGCGCTTACCGTACGCCTGCTATTTTCTAAAATTTAACGTTAACGTGTTAGTGTGGTGTATACTTAAACGTGGCGGCGCTATTTTATGCGCCCTTAGAAGTGCTTTTAGCGTAGTTGTTTAAATATTTACTTTGATCGCAGCACACGACTGTTTAAAATGGCTTCTCTTGCCTTCAGTTTTCTTCGATGACCGAGTATTCCGGATGAGCTAGCGTACGTTTTTAGATAGCTTCCCTTTTCGAACGTCTCTAGGCCTAACTAGAATATCGATGTAAATAAGTAGGCAACGTTAATGTTTTCGCGTTTCATGCTTTGTTCATATTTATTTACTTTTATGATTTCTAAATTAAACTTGTCACAACGTTTCATGCGGTGACACAAGCAAGCATTCTTGTTTTCTTTTCCTTTTCACTGTTCTTTCACGTATTAACCCTCCGATAGGTGACGTCACCACTTAAACGCTATCCCTCTAAACTATAAAATGCTGTTCGCAACGAACGTTTGCTGCACGGGAACGCCTTTCTCCTCATCTCCGCTATCACGCTAACGGTAAATGATAACTGTCTACCGTCTCACATGTGCGTGTGAAAGGAAGCACCGTACATATGTAAATGAATTGAACGCTCATTTATACACATAAGCTCGAATGCACTTGCGTATGCTCACACTTAAGTGTGTACAAGATCATTCTGTGCGTACCCACATGTGTGGCTGCGCTAGCTCGCACAAACTGAGAAATGTTTTATTGCTCGTTAAGAAATGTGTTGGACTTCATTGCATTTCGCGATAATACAGTGAAAATAGGGTGGGCTTTCCAGCAAAGTGAAGCAAAATGCAGGCTTGGTACCTCTGAGCAGGACCACGCCGTACTTGTACATGCAGTCCATCCACCGGTACAGGCCGTCATCAGTTTCCATGAACTCCTTGTAGGAGACCTCTGGAAAGTTCTTCCAGATGGACACCCTATCCCAGAATTCCATGGGCGGCAGCGGACTGTGGTTCTCATCCGTGTCTGCGTTCATCATGTAGCTCCTGGCATTCTGGTATAGCCTGCGCAAAGTATTACACAGCTTTAGATTTTAAGCATGAAAGTAATTCCAAGAACATTGTTCGAAATAGAGCTGACAAGAGCATATCTTCCAACACACCACACGTAGAAGTAAAAGCAGCTGTATCCGTGGTAATACCTTGATACGTTGTTATTCACGGGCCCCTTAGAAAATGGTGCTTTGAGATGCTCACACAGGGCTTGCGTTGTTCCCGTCACAGCCTACTTATACAATACATAAAAAAATTGTGGTGGCTACGCACAAGTGGTGCAAAGACTCGGAAGGCAGAGGGGTTCATAGTCTTCTGTAGCATGTCTGCAAACAGCGCAACACCAGTACGATGCGACGATGCGAAGAAGGGGCGTGCACTAATGGTGCAGGCGTTTGCCTCTTCATCATCATGATGTTGCGCTGTTTTAAGGACGAATACCGATAATCTTGCCCAAATCTCTATCCTCTTACTCTAGTGCTCCTCCTAACCCTCATCTATTTTCCCACTCCTCGCTATACTATACCATACACAAAGGCTATGCTATGCTAACCCTTTCCCGGTCTCCTTTTCTTCTCTTTTTGCTCTCCCCACCCAAACTTCCCTTTCCAGCCCCTTGATAGTATGGTATACGTGATCATGCTTTGCCCACTCCTAACAGTCTTTTCCCTGCCTTCTCACATTGCTCCACCTCACCCTCAATTCTGTGTCGCACCGATTGATAAGCTATACATGGCCATGCTTTACCCTCTCTCCTCCTTGCACTAGGTTTAACATCTACGCCGCTCCTCGTCGCCTGGCATCTCTTTCCGACCCTTTTGCATGGTAGTAGGCATTCACTTGTCCTACTGTAGCAATGCATAGCTATGGTGGGCTTTCCTCCTCTCTTAGCTATTCTCTCACCCACTTCGCCAGTGTTGTGCTTGCGACGAATGGCGCTACTGCGAGCTTAAAACAGCTCCGCGGTTGAAAGAACCCCTGAAGTGGCTTCTTATGGACACCTGTGCATGTAGCTGCTGCTGTTGCGTAGAAGCCTACACTAAAATCGGATCCGCAGTGGCTGGAAAAAATAGACGCAGCTTCTCCGCTAGAAGCGAAACATTAAATGTGATAGCAACAAGTTGCAGTGTTACGCGAACTAAGGCGAGCAACTAACTTTTCAGAGACCCGACCTCACGTAACTCTGTAAAATTCTAGCACAACACAATGTGACCATTCCATGGATCAAAGAGGTTTTCATGCTCCTTGTCGCTTCGGCACAAAGTGGTGAAAACCCAACATTCATAAGGTCAGGTGCTGTGTTGCCGTCTGGGAAGACAGTGCGCTCAACCGCGCTGCTTTGATTAAAATTCGTAGATACTCCCTCTCTTCGTCACAGGCACACCTCCATGCTCCTTCGCCTAATGGAATGGAGAAGGAGCATGGAGCATTAATCGGACCATTAATCTCTGGTTGAACCACTCCTCCTACAGCCTTCACCAGCTTTCACTCGCACAGCCAAATAGCACGCAAGGAGAGAAGTTATCAATTTGAACTTTATTCGGAACATGACGTGACGAAAAAAAGCGCTTCGTGCATCCATGTAAATATTAGAGCAATAGTATATTATTTTAGTATCGAAATACCAAACATTGCCTGTAGTAGCTGCGTTGGTGATAGTACGCCATGGTCGTTGTCGTCCAAGTTATAATTACCACGCGTTTTATGTTAAGCGTACTGCAGAATGCAAGACGAAAGCTTTGTTCAGCAAATTTCATGGAATGAGTAATGTGTTTGGCACCTGCTTCCTATAAAGGCAACCAGCTTTCAGGTAAATCTTGCCATGCCATGCTGTGCCAAATATGCGGCAAATGAAAATGCTGCGGCCCGGTGTGGAGCGCTTCGGTGGATTTTATAGGATACATATAGGCATGAGCATTCTCGCAAACTAATAAAAAATGAAAGTAATGGCTGAAGAGAAATATAAATGAAAAAAAAATTTACAGATGGTTTCTAAGTATATTCTTGCGAGACGACAACACAAAAGCGATTTTCTTTGACGAGGTTGTATTTAGGGAGGGGAGCTGCAAAGTGTTGTTGTTAAACTGCGTTGTGAAGTATCAGTCGAGCCAAATATTATGTGGATTGTTCTCCTCATTAAGCGTAAATAGCTTGCTTTTGCTGTGTGAGATGTGTTAGGATTCAGATAGCAACACGAGCTCCACTGATTATTTCTTTTTGAAAACTTTTTTGCGCGTACCACAGTTATATAATCACTCCGGTGGAGATCCCACCTAGCATGCCAGTGCATCGCACAATCATGTATATCCAATGCCCAAAGTTAGCTTGATGAGCAGGTTCCCGTGTCTGCCTTTTCCAGCCTTGAATTAGGCGGCTTTAGTGTAGAAAAATGCTTCTGTTCACGTTCGTCTCCTTATTTCTTCTGTCAAGGCACCACTTGGTTGACAGGTCCTCTGCCGATGTAAACATCATACTGGCTGCAGCAACACGTGCTGCAGTGATAATCCCTTCGCAGACCTTTAGGTCACGTATAAGGCGGACAACGGCGCACTCCCATCAAGTCAACACTTGTCCTCCTTCTGCGGGAATCGCCATCACCTAATCAGGCGCTCTAGTCACTTACCGCAACTGCTAACTGTAATTTGCCGGTGAAGCCAGGCGTCGATCAGTTCTGGTCGGAAAGTCGCAAATTCTGCGGCTGTGGATTTCGCGAACGCACGGCAAGCATGCATTTTAGGCAGCCTAGACAGTCACGCTTTGTCGATATAAGAAAACACAAGCAAACTGTGTACACCGGTGAAATTATAGCGTATAATTGATCTGAACAGTTTGACGCACTAAAATATTAGTGAAATGCTTAGATATTCAGAAATTACTTGTTTATTAAAGGTTAACGTTATAAGCGGAAATGCGATACGTTACTCTTTAGCAATGTGTTGGTCAAGAAAGATACTTTTGAGCAATAAATGGAATGCCACATGTAGCGATATACCCACTGGCCTCATGAGCCGCATTTCCATGTTTGTATCGAGCTATCAAGTGCGAAGACAGTCACTGACCAGAGGGGACTGTAGGAGGACTGGTGCGTGCCGGTGGAGTCGCCCCAGGTGACCTCCAGGCTTCCGTCAGCCGAAACCTCCATGCTGACTGGACGCACGTTGTAGTCCAGACCAGCCGTGTCCTACAAGCTTCTGCTTGCTCTGCGGGTGGACGCACTCAGGACAGTTGCAGTTGTCGCGAAGCTGTGGGTGATAAGTGAAGGCGTACAACTTCAAGCAATCAGTGGCGTTCGAACAAAATGTTCGTGGTTATGGCTCAGTACGATCCAACTAGCCAAACAACATGTTTTGTTTTGTCACAATGTGCAGTGTCGAAGCTTACCCAAATGTAGTTGAGCTCACACGCCTGGTGATCGTTGAATATCACCTTGACCGTATGCGCACCGGTGGGCAGCGCGGTGGCGACACTTAGCGACGCCTGCTGGTTCTGATGTTGCAGCTGCGTGGCTGTGCCTGCGAAAAGTAACCCGCCAGTTAGCCTTGGCAGAAAGAGCGGGACAAGGGAGGAAACACCAACAATGCGCTTGCAAAAGAGGGAGCCTCAGTTCCAACGGACTTGAATATGATATGTGAACACATATGAATATGTGTGCATGTTGTGCCATGGCCGAGTATTCCGCAGAGATGAGTACATGTTTTCCCATTAGATGGTGGTGACTGGAGGCAAACTTTGGTTTCAGCGTCCCTCCCCTCCTCCCTTTCACGTCCAAGAGACAAAATGCTTCTCGTTGTATGAACGAAAAATAAAGGTGAAGTGATGGCGTGCATTTTACAAAGGCCTATCCTTGATTGCTGGCTTTCGGAAGTAAATATAGGAAGCAAGCCACTCTTGGAATTCAGTATCTGTGGCCTCGTGCCTACCATTATCGACAGAATCCTGCGTGGGGTTGGTGTTTTAACAATAGAGAGAAAGTACGGCTGAGTTAAGGTATGGAGTAGACTTTGCCCCCACTGCTTGAGTGATTAGGGGGGCAGTACTTCCCTTTTCTCTGTAGCGCACGCCTATGATACTCCTTGTTAATTTCGAGCCCCCCTGCGTCCATAGTGCGGGTTAAAATGTAAGCAATTGAGTACCTTTTCACTACGCCGTTATCGAAATATGCATTCAGTAGTTGTTAAATCGGCGGACGCACGATTGTGAATCCAGCAATGTGACGCCCAATCACTTTCATTGGCTTTTCATGCAGCAAGGGTCAGCTGGTAGAGTGGTGGGGCAAATGTTTTCTATTTATGCTGTACATTCCTTCCTATAATGTCCTTGGTTCTAATGAATTCTTTCTCGCGTATCATCTTAGACAAAGGAGTTCTGCAGATGCTCGCCAGGGGGGCGGAAGCGTTAAAAAAAAGAAAATTGGACAACCACTCGTTTGTAGCACGTAACCACAAGGAAAGCAGTGAGAATTTCTTAATAAGAGAAACTCCTCAGTTGCCGATTCGTGGTCCGGACATGAAACTAAGCCTATGAATTTCCGGGGCGGTCACTCTACCAATTCAGCTAACCATGCAGGAAGCTAGAAATTGGCAGCGTTAGAGCGAATTTATGGACAACTCGAAGCACAGAACACAACAAATTTCCTTGTGGCTTCGTTCCACTAACAGGTGGTTGTCTGATTTCCCTACCACATTATTCCACGCTCACAGTTGCTGTCGTCACTTGAGCAACAAGCATAATGGTTCGACGTATACAGCGCATAAAACCTGAACTGATTTTTTTTTTTTTTTCGCCCGAAAGATGAGCCAATTGGCCAATTGGTTATTGCGCTAAGGCCGAACAGAGGTCTTGGTGACTGCAAATTTGCTTGAGTTCAAAGCCTATGAATTTCTCCTAAATGTGGCCACGGTATCTGAAGCTCTTTTCTAGTAAACAAGCGTCTCGTACCAATGGGGCTAGTCCCGACACTAACAGAGAGCCGGCTTACAGTAACATATACAGTTACGGCTTATACAGTAACGACACCATAAACGCGATCTACAACCGACGCCTTAATAGGCAATCATCCCTACGACAAACCTGCAAGTTACCACGCATTCCGGAAGCTTTTTTGTCAAAATTGTCAGCTCGGCTTTTAAGGCAGTTCGACCAGGTTCATGCCTTTTCAGGCACAAAGCACGTGGGCGTAGAAACTGAATTCAAGCTAGGGGTGAACACCGTCAAGTACAATTCGTGACGTACAATGAACCCAGTGACGTGCGTTGTACGTCACGAATGAGGCACACCGTCTAGGACACGCCGAAGATTTCAACGAAAACACAGCGTCTGGATTTCGCATCTTGGAATTAGAGGAAGGTGGAGTTGACATTACGGCGCAGGAATCGTCTCGCTGGTTGCAACGGCGATGGGACGGCTCTCTGCTCCAGGAACAGCAGCAGCCGCGTCGGCTGTGACCACCGCAGCCCGAGGCCCGTAGCGAGCCCCAATCTCGCCAGGGACAGCATCGCGACGCGGACGACCGCTGAGCGGTGATGAAGATGCTTCAGGAGACGTGTCAGCCCTACATTTGTTTGTTTTGTTTGTTTGTTCCTTGCAGCTTATGACGTGGACCCACTCTGGGGAATCGTCGAAGAAATGCAAAAGTACAGCGTTTAAAAAGATAATTTGAACAATGCTGCATGATAAAAAAAGCAAATACAAAAGAAATATTCGAGGATACTACAAATCTGTGTGATTTCGCTTATAGACAACGTTCGCATACTCCTTACTTTTCTTTTAAACCGATGGATAGGACCCGCTACGGGGTGATGAACGGATTGACGCGAGTGTGTTCGGCTGCCACGAGTACATAAAGCACCTTACGAGTTACAAAGCAAACTGTCTCACCGAAACGGTCATGCCAAGCTAATAATATAATATGTAATGCTTACTCGACCAGCATGCACGCACAGAATTTCGAGATGGTAATCACAATGTTTTTAGTTTGCAAGGGCTGAGATGCTGTAGGCCTGCGTACTGTGAGATGCACTAAAGAACTCCAGGTGTTGGAAATTATCCGGTGCTCTCTTCTGCGGCTTCTATTAGAATTAACCTGCGCTTTCTTGAGAAGTGCGACCCCGTTAGACAATTGCTCGCAAATGCCGTTCACTCACCGACTGGCCATCCATTCCGATAAAACCGATATGTAATCTAATTTTAACGAACAGTATTTGAGTTGGAATGAACGTGCCTCTTGGTGTCTTAAAGAATGGAAAGCGCATCTCGAGTGACCAAAGGAGAAACGCATAGGGAACTGACAATGACTTGTGGTCCTCTGAGCAGAGCCATTATTTTACCAATATTTTCTATATGTGGCACCCATGTCACACTTCATCTCCGTACAAAAGAAAAAAAGACCGTGCCTATGGATGGCGCAGCGGGCTTTGTGACTTAATAATCACTCATTCAAATAACTTTATTGCATATTCCTGAGAGTTTGTGGGATGAGTTGAAGTTCCCGCACAAGCTAATACCACAAGTTCTCAAGTTGCGGCGGCTTCCTCGGCCCTAAGGGCATCTTAATCAAATCTCCAAGAGAAGAGCTGTATAAAAAATTTCGTACAAGAGCGCGTGAATCAAGACCCCACTTTAGGGGAGCCTTTTGATGTAAACCAAATCGAATCAGGATGTTGAGCATAGAAACATACAACTGTCACTAAAGCACAGATATGCACTCATTTTATTCTTCAGGTTGTGACATGAGGGATAAAATGGACACTCGAGGACACTGCACGATAGCAAGGACACTCGAGAACAAGCTGAAAACCATCCAGTCTCCTAGGGAACGGAGAATGATAGATATAACTGTAAGAGACGGGAAGACATCAAAGTGCATAAGGAAACTAACTGGGTTAGCTAACATAGTTTATATTAATGAAAAAATGGTCCTGCGTAGCCTTCGTTGTAAAAAGGACCTATAAACAATGGCGAGTTAAGGCGCCGGAGTGGACACCAAACTTTGAGAGGGCAACTTGGAATGACGAAGGGTTAGGGGGGTGACTCATGCAGACACAAACTGCACAAACGGCACTCAGCTGAGTGCAGACACAAACTGCCCTCAGCTCGCTCTGGACAGAGTGGGCTGGAGATTGCTGGCAGAGGCCGTCTTCCTGTAAGTGACTGACATTCATTTTGACTTTACAGCGATGCTGTATCACTCGCTCGGGAGATTTCTTCTTGTCCGATGACATGAAGCTCTCAGAAAAAAAATTCCGAGACAAAGTAATCGCCCTCCCTTATTCTTAAGTCCACTGCCTTGACCATAAGACTGCCCACCAATGCTTCCAAAAAGTGAATACACCTGAAGCAGACAAATTCATTGCAGCCGCCCAGTGCCAGCCCGCTGGCGCTGAGGCACTCTGCAGAAGTTGCGTCCTTTGTTCTCTTCAACGTCTCCTCCTCCGGCCCACACATTCGGCGTGTTCGCACCATCGTTTAAAATGATGTTTAACCTCTGTGTCATGAGCCCCACTGGTCATTCGTTTTCACCGACACTAAAGGCTTCCGAGTTTCTTGCTATGCCATTTTCAATTTCCCAGGCTGTATTTACTTCGACCAGCTTGGCCCCAATCAGCACCTTTCTGGCTGCATTTGTTTGTGTCTTTAGAAAAAAACGTTTAACGATTTCGAGTACTTGGTACTCAACTATAATAGAGCACAGAGCTGTCCCGTGGGCTCATTCTTTAGTCTACGAAACTCGCTAAAGTTGGGTCTTGAAAGTGTGAGCGGCTCCTTTTAAGCTAAAGTTGTCCCATTGAACTCCAAGGTTGGTTTTATGTCATTTGTTCGCCTGTAAAGTAACGTTGTTATTGCATACTACACAAGATCGAGTGGCTGACTGAGATATTGTGTGTGCGCTAGTATCTTTATTTTAACTTTAAAATTTTCCTGTGTGTAGGATATTAAACAGGTTACTGTGAACCTGTAAACGTTCCTGTGTTTCTGCTCTTTCAACTTTCCTTCTCGGTCTTCCGCGGTAATTTTGTTTGTATGATGTCACTTACATCATTAGACCTTCTGTTTGAGCACCTATGTAGTTTCGGCCAAATTTCGCTTACATCATAAAAACACTGATCCTGTTGAGTTCTCCGAGTACAAATGCGGAACAAACAGGAGATCACGTACCGGTCCTGCGCTTCTGGTGGTAGCGCCTGACGTGCTGCAGCGTCGGCGTGGTGCCCCTGCGCAGGAGGATCCGCCCTCGCAGATGACAGGCAGGCCGCCGCGTGACGCGACAGTGGCACAAGCAGAGACCTCGCACACGACGCCATTCGCGGGCCTGTCGATGCAGCGCAGGCGTCACTTGCCTCAGCACCAATTCGTCTGCACCATAATGGGGGTGAGGAAACGTTAGGCAGACAAACTTGATACGAGTGCAGTGCGCATTTAAACACAATATACAGTCACCTCCGAAACAACCTGTAGCAACGCATTCTGCTGTTAATTATCAGGGTACGGGTCCAGAGCGTTGATAATCACAGATGGAGCTACACTTGGAGTGCTGGAGAGCTAGTCAAGAATGAAAAAGTCGAAATCTTGCATTGACACGACAAAATTACGCCTGCAGAGATTGTCGACACGTTGTAAGTAATAGACTATGTAGACTTCTAAGTGGTAGTGCGATGACTGGTTTGAAGAACAAAAAAACCAAATGATGAGTTCAAGGTGGCAGTGATACAGCAATGGGGCACATTTTTGCATGAACAAAGAGAGCGGACAGCCATGAAACGAGCCCGTTAATCAGCCCGGTTTTGTACTCCTTTGAAATAAATAAATAAATAAATAAATAAATAAATAAATAAATAAATACCAGGAGAGCGAATTTGGAGGCGTGTATGTTGCATCACCTTGAGATTTACGACATCAAACATTCTACATTGTTGCATAGGTTTGTCAATTGTCATGGTGAAATATGCGTACGGCTGTCTATTACTTTAACTGCAATTGCTTTCGATGGGCCCCTCGTTACCCCCAGCGCATTTAGAAAACACATGATTCCTGTCAACAGCTTCCGTTACTTCTTAAGATCGTTCAACTTGCTATAAGGTAATTGTCGGTGTTTCCTAGTCGAGAGAGATTGTGGATCGCTTGTGGATGTCTGTGTTGAAGTGACAGGGTTGGAGAGGTCCTTTTATTAAAATTCTGGCCTCGGTATTAGCGTAGTTGATCGCGTGTGAAAGAAATGATTATTATGTGCGTCACTGAAAAATCGTGAAAGATGCTGAGGAATGCAAACAAAAATTCTTAGACCGAGTGGCGATCGCACCCGTGTCGTTTGTGGGCAAGAGGGTTTTCTACCACACAGTCATGCATGCGTCTGCTTCCGAATACAGCGGACACAACTTGATAATTTGATTGATTGATTTGTTGGGTTGAACGTCCCAAAATCACTATATTATTACGAGGGCTCTGGAAATTTTTACCACCTGGGGTTCTTTAACGTGCACCCGAATCTGAGCACCCGGGCCTACAAGAAAATAACTTGCTCTGCTTAGAATTGCAGTGAAACTAACTGTCATGCTTTACAAACACACATGTCCTGTATACATGGTTCACAATGCAATATTAAATATTGCAGTAATATCGCGTGCTACGAGCGTACATTGCCATCAGGCATCACGGAATGTGATTATCTTATGACTTCCGTTGCATATATCATCGTCATGCACCCGGCACATGGAGTAGCGTGTCAGGTGAAGAACCAGATGAACCTCTCCAGCTCCCCATAAAAGAATTTTCTATCTCTCCCATGACTTTATGGTTGTCAGCTGGTCATCCACTACAAAAGTCACACGCGTCACAGTGCCTATTCCTTAAAGGGCACATAGTCGGTGTAGAGTCTGGTCGAAAAGATTTCAGGCACGAAGTGCTTGAAGTACGCACCAGGGACAGGATATCGCTTTCAGCTTAAACTCTTAAAGTGAAGCTTACAATTTTTCGCTGGATTGTGTATGCGAGTATGTGCCACAAGTTAGTGTGGAAAAAGGTTGTGTGACGTGCGAGAGTGGCATGTCATGTCATTCATGTCATAGCTTGTTAAATGTGTTCGTAATGCACTCAAGCCCGTCTATGCCGATTTATTTACACACGAAGCTAAGGAGACGACCAGAAGATCACCCAGATGTACACGCCTCGAAGATAGATAGATAGATAGATAGATAGATAGATAGATAGATAGATAGATAGATAGATAGATAGATAGATAGATAGATAGATAGATAGATAGATAGATAGATAGATAGATAGACAGATAGATAGATATATAGATAGATAGATAGATAGATAGATAGATAGATAGATAGATAGATAGATAGATAGATAGATAGATAGATAGATAGATAGATAGATAGATAGATAGATAGATAGATAGATAGATAGATAGATAGATAGATAGATAGACCACCTTTTTTGCCTTGTTCGTGTAAAGCAATGAAAAGACAGAATTTATTCCCCAAAGAGCGAGTTTGATTCCCGACCGATAAAGGTGGCCGCATTTAGATGGACGTGAAAATCAAGCACACCATCGTTGCTAGGTTTTGGTGAAAAGTAATGTTGAACTCCAGAGAGGCAAAATTAATTCGTGGTTAGGGATGACAGGCTCCTTTATAATCACATCGTGGCTTTGACACGTAATACCCCTGTAATTATTATTGGTAGTGATGTTAACACACCATTGTATAAACAAATCTAGACGTGGTAGAAGCACAGTGGAAGAAGGAAGCCTGCGATTTTTCCTCACCACGACAATACTGAGGTCGCGGTTTCAAAAACAGCATGGCAGCTGTCAAGGGAGGTATGAGTGTATATGCTTTTTCTAGGAGCTTACTGTCGAGTAGACATGGTAACCTGTTGTCCCGCTGTTTTTGAGTTCAAACAACGCTAATGGATCTTACGTGTTCACAAACTTTGCTGTGACTTATTCTGCTGCCGTCAGCAAGCATATTATGCACTCGTCTCACAGTTCATTTCACGCTGTGTGCATGCAAACTGTCTTGAAAGTGTGAATCTTTTCTTAGCATACATATCAAATGATGTACAAATAAGGCCCGCTTGAGAAAAAGAGTCTTACTTTCCAAATATATCTAATAGGACTGTTCAGATGATCGGACAGTAGTGTATGTTTAGACGCAGACTGAAGTTTATGCGAGAATTACCTAGGCAAACACAGCGGGCACTTTCGCACTATTAACTTAATCTTACTACCCGCCCTGAAATAACTGGTATAGAAACAGGGCGAAAATTGCGTTACGCTACCCAGTTACAAAAACAAAGTCGGATCCGCTCGGCATTCGCAGCACAGCAAAAACTGGAGGAGCGGCATTTCAAGAGTCCGCTGTACAGCTGCGCTCTTTACCCTCTCAGGTCTCTGTCCTCCTCCGTTTTCGGTGTTGCGGGCTGTTACATGAGTTGCAATGAACCAACTAACCCAGTAAGCAACCAGTCATGTTGATGTCCTTGCAAAATGAGCCTGTTTTAATAACTAGCGTCTTAATGTTCCTAATTGCACCACAAAGCTCAATGGAACACACAGTGCCATAGGCTGTTTTAACAACCAGTGCTAAATCTTCAGGTATTTGCTCCTGTAATTAGAATTATTCGAAAGGACATGCTTGGCATTCTGCAGTCGAAAGCGTGTTCAGGAAGAGTGATCAGCAGGCGAATCTTGGGCATGGGGACTATTTGTATGAAGCGCAGTGTAATACAATGTCGATTGTAGTTCAAAATAGCGTTCCTCGATACGGCTAACCCTGTCCCAATGCACGACTACTGCCACATAACAGTTATAAGCCTCAATATGGCTCCGCATCTGTCCGCGTTAGATACAGCTCGTTTAACCTATCCCGTTTACAATAACATCATTGCAACTTTCGAAGTCTCTTGGAAGGGGGGTGCCATAGCATGTGCAATTTGGTCTCGTATCGAAACATTTCTCCATGACAATGGTGACGCTGTAAGCACGACTACTAAGATAAAACACCCATGCTTATTTGATAACTTCATTGCAACTATCTGCAACGCTCTACTGCGATTCCATTTCCTGGGAACCCGACTGCGATTCTCTAGTGGGTCATCGGTTGCTTGTCGTCTGTAAAACATAGTCTATCCTACTTCAAACTCTTTATTAACTTTGTCGGTTAACCATCAATGTTTGTTTCCGTTCATGGCATTGCCAGATTGAGGTAATCTTGCATTTTGTTTGCAGTACGAGCGGTAAGCGGCCGGCCAGGACTATGAAATACCTGTCGTATGCTGTACGCTTTCAACTGATGTTAATTATCCTCTATTCACTTTTCTTCGAAACACTATCTTACAGCTAGCGCGTCCACTGTGAGAAAGCGATCACGAAGAACGCACACTTTCACATATTGTCACAAAGGCACAGGGACGCAGGCACAAAAACAGGGCGTTTACTTTCGTAACCAAATGCCAAAAGCACGAACACCAGAGCACGCACCCACAGAACTACTACGTTATCCTCCTCCGAGGCTGGCCACTATAGTTGCCAGCCTACCTTGCGCCAATATAAGACATTGGCGTCCACTCATGAATGTTCCCTTTCTTGTTAGAGTGACTGCAATCTTTTTCATGCTACTGCTACACTTTCCTGTATAAGATTCTCTGCAGTAAATGACTAAACGGAGGTTTGTTTGTAGCATATTACCGTTTGTACGGGTATTTTTCGCTTGCCATGTGATAAATATGCGCAGATTCTCAACAAATGTCAACTAAATATTTACTTGTGCCTCTTTTACTTTTTGGCCAGTCTCCTCGAAAACTGCTGGCTTCCCTGCTCAATGCCCCGCCGCGGTGATCTAGTGGCTAAAGCATTTGGCTTCTGACCTACTGGTCACGGGCTCTAATCCTGGCTGCGGCGGCAGCATTTTCGATTGAGGCGAGAATGCTGTAGGCCTATGTGCTCAGATTTCGTGGCACGTTTAAGAACCCCAGGAGGTCGAAATTCCAGAGCCCTCCACTAGCTACGACGTCTCTCATAATCATATGGTGGTTTTGGGACTTTAAATCCATATAATAATAATAATAATAATAATAATAATAATAATAATAATAATAATAATAATAATAATAATAATAATAGTAATAATAATAATAATAATAATAATAATAATAATAATAATAATAATAATAATATATATATTATTATTATTATTATTATTATTATTATTATTATTATTATTATTATTATTATTATTATTATTATTATTATTATTATTATTCCCGCCTGGACGAAATGTGTTGTCTTAATCGATGACAGCGACATATGATGGAGCCATAGAGTTCAATTCTACATGTCAGTCAGCCGC